CTTGTGATTGTGTCTAACAGGCCCCTTCCATTCGTAAAGTTTGTACTGGAGCAGTGTAGCAATCGCCACCTGCATGTGCCATAGAGTATGTAGACAAGACACGCACTGCATCACACCATGTACAAACACACACACACACACACACACACACACACACACACACACACACACACAAAACTACATCACAAAGAGGCGAAAAGGGAACAAGGACCCGTAGCATCAACGCAGGGCAGTGCACGCTCATCATCAATCGGAGCATGAAGCACAGTTGTTGTTGCGGCTATGATCGCTTCGCAGACTTGAACGACCGCAAAGGGTCCTGGGCAGACCGCCTCTTACCGCTCTTGGCCCCACCACCACCACCACGACCACCACCACGACCACCACCGCGACCAGCACCACGACCAGCACCACGACCACGCCCCCTGCCACGACCTCCACGGCCACCACGGCCACCACCACCACCACCACGGCCACCGCCACGACCACCATCACTGTTGCCGCCTTTGCTGTTCTTGTTCTTCTTCTTGGACACACGAAGCCGCTGTGCATCTGTGGATTTGGGCTTGAGGTAAAATGGTAAATCCTTCAAGTGCGGCTTGATGTCCTTGACGTCATGCAGAACCGTGTCATGTCGCAACACCTGCAGATCGCGCGGGTTCTCCACAAAGTGTGCCTGCAGGCAAGGAATACACAAAGGGGAAGGGAGGGTTGAGCGATTGGGAGGTGTGAGGAAGAAGCGTGGGTTGGGTTCAGGATGCGATAGCCAGTACGCCAATACATCCGCAGCAGAGGCAGTTGTGTGTGTATGTGCACATGCGTGTGACTGCATACACACACACACACACACACACACACACACACACACACACACACACACACACACACACACAAGCATACACACAAAAGCGCACGCGCACGCAGACGCCCACCTTGAGTGTTTCTGAGTTGAGGAGCTGGAGCTCAATGTCGCGGCGGATGGCGAGGTCGATGTCACGCTTCGTCACGTGCGCAATGGCATCGTCGACACGATACTTGAGCGGCTTCACAACGTCCACCTGGTCATGCAGTGAAGCGACGTGAAGGTGGTGAACAGCAGACAAAATTGTGGTGGTGTTCGGGTGTGAGTACATCACGTATGCAATGAACGCACGATGAATGCATGACAGCACCACCCGATACGTGCAGCAGGTGTGTCAGCCACAAAGTGATCCTCTAAATCACAGTCACTTGTCGTCAATGGCACACTCCCCCCTCACACACCTTAATCGTGTATGGCTTGATAATTTCCCCATCCTGCGCATCAATCTCAGTCTCTGCCTTGCCACCCTCATCATTGCCATCCACATCCTCGTCGTCATCGTCTTGTGCCTTTGCCTGCTCCTGCAGAAACTTCTCCACCCTGTGCAACGCGGACCGCTGTCGCGGATCAACAAATGACAGCGCAATCCCGCTCTGCCGCCCCCGAGCAGTGCTATACGCGTGTTGGTGTTGAGTGGTTGGTGAGAACGAGGGGAGGTGGTGAGGAGGGGTTGAATAACACGCATACAGCCCAAACAGACACGCACATATGCACACGCACGCACACACACGCACACGCACACACACACACACACAAACATGTGGACGGGAAGCTCACCGGCCAACGCGGTGGACGTATCGCTCGACGGTGGGCGGGAAATCAAAGTTGACGACATTGGTGACGTCCTTGAAGTCGACGCCACGCACAACACCGTACTCATTGTCGCTCGCAACAAACCTGGAGCAGGGACGAGGACACGGAAGAGGAGAGGAGGGAGGAGTGATGCTGAGTGCTAGAGTGATGTTGTGGGTCAATTGAAAGCAGTTGCATTGCACTCAACGGTGTGTGTGTGTGTGTGCTGTGTGTGCTCAGTGTGTGTGTGTGCTGTGTGTGTGTGTGTGTGTGTGTGCGTGTGTGCGGCTGGGAGGATGCATGGGAGACGCCAAGCATCAATAACATAAGGGATGCTGTCCGTACTTTGCGTTGCGCGGTTTGATCTTCTTGCCCTGATTACCATCTACAGATGGCGCATGTGCACATGAACCGTGAATTAGAAAACAACACACGAAGGCAGGCAGGCACACACATACAAACAAACAAACACGCACGCACATACACACGCACACGCACATACACACATACACACACGCATACGCACATACACACATGCACATAGCCAAGCAAGACATTTGGGCGAGGCATGTTGGCTCATCACATCCCAAGAGCAACGACACCGCACCAGTCTCGTCGGAAGCGATGATAATGTCGTAGATGCCCTTGTTGAACTGCGTGACAATGTGGCGGCGGCTGTTGGCGGGGAGCCGCGAGTTCAGCGCACACGAGCGGATGGAAAACTTCTCAAGAAACAGCTTCAGCTTGTAGCATTCGTTGACCGTGTTCACAAACACCAGCGTCTTGCCCGACAGGAGCTTCAGTGCGAGCAGGGCGTAGAAGTTGAGATATTTGTCTTCGTCATTGCACACGAGCGCGTGCTGTTTCAGCTGCTCGTCATCGGGGAGATCCGACTCCTCAAGTTTGATGATGGCCGGCGACCGCAGCACAATGTGGCTCTTCAGCGCCTGGATGTCCTCGCTCATCGTCGCGCTCTGCCGACACGGTGTGGGGGTGGAGCGTGTGAGTATGAGTATGAGTGGAGGGTGTACGTTTTGTGTTGTGTTGTGTTGTGTTGTGTTGTGTTGTGTTGTGTTGTGTGTGTTTGTGTACGTTTTGTGTTGTGTTGTGTTTGTGTGTTTGTGTGTGTGTGTGTGTGTTTGTTTGTTTGTGAGGACTGTGTGGTGTCAGTTGTGCGTTGTGCATTTTTGGTGGTGTGCGTTCATGGTGATTGAAAGAGGCAAAAGGCAGCGTCAAGAGACACGAGTGACATTGTATCGTACCAGGAGAATGGTCTGCTTGACGGATGGCAGGACGGTTGAGAGCTGTCGTACGGCATCGTCGTGCCCATATGTGAGGATGAGATCTGCTTCGTCGAGCACTAGCATCTTAAAGTCGTCTGTCACAACCACTCGCTGTGAGTCAGTCAAACAGAGCAAAGTTGGGATGAATAGGTGAATCGAGGAATGCGTGTGGACAGAAAGCAGCTTGCAACAAGCGGGTACAACGTGAGTGACTGGGACACACGCACACGTGCAGACAATGGCGTGCATTGTGCACGTGCAGGGCTTACTGCACGCGTCCATTTGGCCATACAAAGCATACACAACAGCGAGACGCCTCACAAAACCACACAGCATATATCCAAGCACACGCCATCAACAACAGCATGATGGGGGAGAGTCACACCTTCTCCAGGATCTTGGAGAGAACAGTGGTTGGCGTGGCAACAACAATATCCGGCAGGTCCGTCAGCAGTGACCTGGCAGAAACAAGGGGATGTATGGTTGATACATGAGCCATACAGATAGTTAACGTTGGGCCTGGCCCCCTTGCCACAAACGCTCCCCATGACACTCTCAAACAGTCTCCACAATCCCACCACCGTCATGTGAGCTTCGCAGCATCAGGGGCACTTACGCGTCATCCATCTTCTTGCGAGAGCGGGAGGACGAGGCTGATGCAACGACGGAGACGACACTCACTTGTTGCTCGCAGTGTGCTGCAATTTGCTGTCAAACGCCATGCAAGCATGGAATTGTGGGGTGGAGAGTGGAGGGAAGATATCGGGGATGAATACGTGCCTGTTGCGCAGCCGCAACACATGATTTCAAAACACAGGGAGAGGTGCAGCCACAAACACAGACATTGACAAGACAGGCAGACACACACAAACAGTTAGATACACACACACACACACACACGCACACACACTCACGCGCACAGACTCACACGCACACAGACTCACGCACAGACTCACACGCACACAGACTCACGCACAGACTCACACGCACACACAGACTCACGTACACACACGCGCACACGCACACACACGCACACACGCACACACATGCACCTACCTTGAGTGTGTCTGCAGTTTGGTCCACCAGCTCCTTGGTGGGAACAAGAACAAGGGCGAGAATTCCATGATCCTCACCGCCAGAGGCTGTTGTTGCGCGTTCCTCCTTCGCCTTGAGCACTGCGTTGATGAGCGGCAGGGCGTATGCGCCTGTCTTGCCAGAGCCTGTGCGGGCGCGGGCGAGGATGTCGCGGCCCTCCAGCGCACACGTGATGACGGCACGCTGAATAGCGGTAGGCCTTGACCAGCCCATTCGCTGCGATGCCTTGGCTGTCCTGGGGTCAAGCCCCAAGGACCCCCACGATGTAGACTTCTTCTTGCTCCCTTTCGCTGCTGCGCTCATGATCGGCTGTGTGCTGTTTGGGGTGTAGCAGGTGCACGTGTGTTTGGCGGCCTCCGAATGGCTGGGTGCACAGGGAATACATTTTTTGCTGTCGGGTTTCACCCCAACTGCCTGCCTGCCATGATGACTCATCATCGCTCTCTGCTGTTGGCTGTGGTTGTTGTTGTTGTGTGCAGTGGCCACCTCGGTGGTGTGCATGCACAGCTAGGGCTGCACCTCAACGGCGATGGCTCCTATGACGTACGCGTGCGTGGCAACACGTGGCTGACATCAGCGGACACGGCGTTCTACGTCAACGATGAGTGGCTGAGCATCCACAACTTTCGCCTCGCCCTCACGAAGAACACCACCACGCGCGGTACGTTGGCACGAACGATCAGGGGATGGATCGAGTGAATGGATCGAGTGAATGTGCGAGTGTGTTTGTGAGTGTGTGTTTGTGAGAGTGTGTTTGTGAGTGTGTGTATGTGTGTGAGTGTGCGTGTGAGTGTGTGTGTGACATGGAGCTGCGGGTTGGAGAATAAGCCCTGCAATAGCCACCAGGGCGCATCTCTGCGTGCCTCGCTGACAACAGGTCATTGTTTTTCATTTCATTAGGCGCAAACAGCTACGGCTCCTTCACGGAGTACACCAACACTTGGAAGGCAGCATCGCAAGTGCACTTTGGCTTTGAGGTCTAGAAATGCGCCTATGCGCATCCCTCCACCTGATCCACATCATGCATGCGACTAAGCGACAGGGCGCCACATACCACGCCTCGGAACACCGCCTTGCCGTCACACACACACACACACACACTCACTCACACACACACACACACACACACACACACACACACTCACATACACACACACACACACTCACTCACATACACACTCACTCACTCACTCACTCACTCACGCACTCACGCACGCACGCAGGTTGAGACGGCGTTCAAGGTGTATGAGAATGGCAATCGCATCATGTTCACGCAGCGGTGGGTGTCTGGTGGCAAGAACACGTCAGCCGGCACCACAGACAATGTCCTCTCTTCCTTTCCATCGTTCAACCTGAGCCATACCCCACCTTCTTCGCTCCATCTCGGCTGCGCCGGCTGGTTTGGCACTTTCATCGACGATTCCCATCGCGGGCCCGCCATTGGTGTGTGCGCGTGTGTGTGTGTATGCATGCATGCGTGCCTGTGTGCGCGTGTGTGTGTGCTGTGCGCGCGTGTGAATGTTCTCTGCAACGCGCGATGTCAGAGCTTCCGAGCGAATTGTGACCCAAGCCCTGTACTATGCCTGTGTGCGTGTGTGCTGTGCGCGCTTGTGAATGTTCTCTGCAACGCGCGATGTCAGAGCTTCCGAGCGAATTGTGACCCAAGCCCTGTACTGTGCGCTGCCATCGGTTCGCTGATGTACGTGCGTTGCTTGCAGGCAAGTGGCCGGATGGCACGGTGGGCGGAAAAGACTTTGGGCCAATGGTCCTGTTTGATCGTGACACGGACGATGCTGTTGTCTTTGCTGCTGCATCCGAGTTTATGGCCGCATCCGTGGAAAAGACCGACAACGCCCTCCGCGCAGGTGCGTCCTGTATGCTTGCACGCACACACGACAATGAAGTGCACAGCGCCTTGCCTGCACCGCACGTGCATAAGCATGCATCAATCACCTCACAGCCATGCCTTTTACACATGCACTTACACACACACGCGCGCACGCAACAACGGCGGCCATGCAGGCATCCTTGGTTCTGTGGAGGAGGTGCCTGCCGGGTTCAGTGTGGCATTCTCGCTGACACTCAACACGACCGGCGTCAACAATGCCATGACGAGCTGGGGCCGCGCCCTCCGCCGCCACTACAACAAGAGCAGCGCCCCTGCACAGTGCGACTTAACCCTGCAGTACCTCGGTACGCGCAGGCACGCTCATACGTGCTTGTGTGTGTTTGTGTGTGTGTGTGTTTGTGTGTGTGGTTGTGGTTGTGTGTGTGTGCGTGATTGTGATTGTGAGTGTGAGCCTGCATGCATGCATGCTTTTGGACCCATGCACCTGTGTTTCCATTGCTCTGTGCACATCATGGTTACTCATCCCGCCCATGTTGCTCACTTTTTTCCTTTGTGGTATCGCTGCCGTAGGTTACAACACGGATCACGGCGCCTACTATTGTGAGACTTTGAGCCTGACAAAGCGCTGCTCTGCTGAGAGCATATTGCATCATCTGACGCTTCACCACACCACCCAAGCTGTCCATGGGATTGCATATACTTCACAACCATGATATCGAACACGCTCCACAACTGCAACCCTTGTCTCCTCGCCCGTACCACCAATCCCTTTCTCCCACATGTCGCTGCCACTGCGGTCCATTCAGACTACAACCCGCAGTCGCCCAACTTCAACGAAACGCTCGTTGGTGTGTTTGAGTCTGCAAAGCAGCAGAGCATCCCCTATCGCTGGATCCTCCTCGACTCCTGGTGTGTGATGATGATGATGATGATGATGATGATGATGATGATGATGATGATGATGATGATGATGATGATGATGATGATGATGATGATGGCGGTGGTGGTGGTGGTGCGTTGCTGCAGCGGCCCGAGCTCGTCTGGAGTCTGCACTCCCTTGACCTCCACGCCACTGCTGATAGATAGGGTTTGATTGTATGTCAAACGTCACCACACTCATTCCACACCAACCCCTTGACATGTACTGCATTGCGTCGGCTTCGTTGACCGCACGTGCAGGTGGTACTTCAAAGGAACCGGGAACGGCGTGAAGAACTGGACTGCAATGCCGCAGATCTTTCCCCCAGGCGGCACGGACGGCCTAGCGGAGTTCACTTCCATCACACAATGGCCCGTCATCGGCCACAACAGATACTGGTCAAACAACACAGATTGTACGTCGCAAACTTCTGTGCATGTGTATATGTGTGGGTGTGTGCCTGTGCGTATGTCTGTAATACGTGCGCCGTTGCAAGTGTGCAAAACTTGGTGAGCGTTTCTGCACACACACACACACAACACACACACACACAAAACACACACACTTTCCTCCTCGTGGCTGCAGATGCCATTCAGAACGGTGGCAAGTTTGCGTTTTCGGACAACAAGTACGCGATGGTTGTGCCGCTCGAGCAGGCCTTCTGGGACTTTCTCCTCGGCAGCAGCAAGAAGTGGGGGCTCGCCGTCTACGAACAGGTGCACTTTCGTGTGTGTGTCTGTGTGTGTCTGTGTGTCTGTGTGTCTGTGTCTGTGTGCGTGTGTGTGTCTGTGTGTGTGTGTCTGTGTGCGTGTGTGTGTCTGTGTGTGTGTGTCTCATTTCTCAGCCATCTTTGCCCTGCCAACATGTGGGGGACAGGACTGGCTGTACAACGAGTTCAATGGCGTCCCACTCCTGACGAAGAACATCAGCATGGCCCGCACCTGGCTCATGCAGATGGGAAACGCCGCAGCAAAGCACAACCTCACCATCCAGTACGCGCCCTGGCCATGTGTATGGGTGTACCTATGTGTGTGTGTGTGTGTGTGTGTGTGTGTGTGTGTGTGTGTGTGTGTGTGTGTGTGTGTGTGTGCGGGCAGACGGGCGTGTGTTTATATTTGCTTTTGGTGGCACGTATTGCACGCGTGTGCGTGTGCTGCATGGCTTCTACTCTTCCCTGTATCTCATGTGGTGTGCACTCCTTTGCTGCCCATGGCATTCCCATCCCACTGCTGCTGTCCAGGTACTGCATGCCGTACCCGCGGCACGCACTCCAAAGCGTTGAAATCTCACCCGTCACTCAGGTATCGTGGTGGTTGTGCGTGTGCGTGAAGGCACGCATGCGCACGGCTGTATGCGATGTGTGGTTGCACCACCAACACTCACACCACGACGTTCCCACAACACCACCACGGTACCACCGCCACCACCACCATCACAGATTCGTGCGTCTGACGACTATGTGCCCGGCGCGGCTGGTCCGGACCAGTGGCGACTCGGATCGTCCTCCATCCTCGCACACGCACTCGGTCTCGCCCCATTCAAGGTGGCCGTCATGATGATGATGATGATGATGATGATGATGATGATGATGATGATGATGATGATGATGATGATGATGATGATGATGATGATGATGATGATGATGATGATGATGATGATGATGATGATGATGTATAGTTGTGGTTGTCGTTGTGGTAGAGTTTGCGGGACTTGATTATAAATTTTACATCATGCCCTTGAGTTGTTGTGACATGCTAATTGGGAGCGGATATTTTAACCCCGGTCCTCCAACAACTATGATATGGCGGATGCACTATTAATTTAAGATTCAACCATCGTGGCCTCATGTAAGTATAGGGGAGACACTGTGCGTATGATCAATGGCAGAGTCGGGCCCCAAGAGATAAAGCCGCCTCGGGTAGCACTAAGACGAGTTCGGTTTGATAGGCTCACCTACGTTCTACACACACACACACACACACACACACACACACACACACGCACGCGCGAACGCACGAACGCACGCACACACACACACACATACACACATCACATGCGCGTGCGTGTGCGCAGGACAACTTCTGGACCACGCCACGGCAGCCGAATGCGTCGACGGGGCCGCTCGGGCACGATGACGCCGTGTGGCGGGAAGCGGCGGTGGCCACGCTCTCTGCAGGGCCCGTTACTCCGGCAGATGGCATCCCGTACCAGAACAAGGTACGCATGGTGATGGTGGTGGTGGTGGTGGTTGCTTGTGTTTGAGCTTGGAACTGTGTACTTGCTTGTGAACGAACAAACAGCAAAGTCGCACCACACACACACACACACACCCTCGCATCTACACACACCCTCGCATCTACATACACCCCCCCCCCAACTTCTTGACACTCACGAGCTCCTTCCTGGTCCCTTTTTCCTTTGCCTACGCATGTGCACAGGAGTTGATCATGCGCAGCTGCAACGAGGACGGGCTGCTGCTGAATCCAGACCGCCCAGCCGTCTCCATCGACCAGACCTTCAAGGCCGCGGCCTTTGGTGCTGCGTTTGGTGCCGCGGGCCAGCTGTGGGCGACCTACTCCACCATTGGCAGCCACCGCTTCAACCACGTGTTTGCGGCCGAGATGAAAAACACGTTTGACCTGCTTCCGTCCACGCTGACGGTGGATGCCACTGCCACGGCCACGGCGACAGAGGGGATGGTTGCATATGCCGTTGCCAACACGACCTCCCTTGATGTGTCGACGCTTCGTGTGCAGCAGTTCTCGCGCGAGGTTCCCATTGTCATTTCAGCCCAAACCTCCACCCCAAACACATTTGATCTCTACCACACCGCACCCGTCTTTGACAACGGCATCGCTTTCCTCGGTCAGTGCGCGCTTGTTTGTTGGTTGGTTGGTTGTTTGTATTGTTGTGGTTTGTTTGTTTGTGTTGTTTGCTTCGTTTGTATTGTTGCGGTTTGTTTGGTTGGTTGGTTGTTCTTTTTTGGTTGAATGCTTGCTCGCCTGTACGTTTCTTTGCGTGCCTTTGCTGCGCGCTGCATTCACTCTCACGCCACGAGCCATGTCACCACTGCACCACTCTTCCTCCTCCATTCCCTGTTGATACCGTCAGGCGAGCTGTCCAAGTGGGTGCCCACGTCGTCCAAGCGCTTCAAGGGCTTCACCAAGACTGCATCCAGCATCAAGGTGGCACACCCGCACCTACACGTACACAAACACATACACTCACATACACATACACACATACGCACAAAGCACATACGCATACACATACACCCATTCACAAATCAACTCACACTCCCTTGTGCGTGCATCCACCACAGGTTGAGGTTGTGGGCGCGCTTGGCGAAAAGGTGACAGCGCACTTTGCCTACATGTCCAGCAGCACCAACGACATCACCATCAAGCATGCGTCTTGCGTCATCTCTGGTGGCACCTCGTGCCACATTGAGTCTCCATGATACAACACGCAGTCATATGATGACAAGCAGTCGCGTCATGTCATGTCCTTTGTGCTGCTGTTGTCTGTCTGTTTTTGTTTCTTTGTTCCTTCACGCAACGCGGCGCGTGTGTGTCTTCAACACCCGTCCATGTTTGTGTGCTTCTTTGCATTGTTAATTGGGTTGTCTGCTCCCCAAAGTCCATTGTTCTCATGCGTGTGCGCGCGTATGTGTGCGTTCACGCGTAAACCGTTACCGTGACTGTGTGACAGCAGCCATCTACTTGATACCGCATGCTACACCACACAGAGGAGGAAAGGGGGTTACTATGAACAGTTGCTGTGCATGTGCATGTGCATGCGTGTGCATGTACATGTGTGTGTGTGTTCGTGTGTGTTCGTGTGCATACACAAACACATGCAAGCAAACGGGTGCACATTTGCGGGCGCGCTACAGCTCGTCGTGGTGCGAGGGAAGGTTGAGGTGTGCAGTGACCCCGGCAACAATGCGAGCAGCAGCACCATCGGGTAAGGCAACCCGTTTTCGCCCAACACCGCGCTCATCCGGCACCAGCGGAGAGAGCGAATACGACAGGTCCTAGTGTGCATGATTTCGGAAGGAGGGGATGATTATGGTGATCACGGTGGTGAGAAGACAGGGGTACGTACTGTGTGCAAGTACAGAACAGATCGCACACACACACACACACACACACACACACACACATGGCCGCTCGCAAAGGACTAATCCTCAATCATACTCTCATGCACATGGCCGCGCACATCTCGAAAAAAAGTGCAGCCCTCGTCAACACCCCCATGTGCAGGCTCACCAGGGCAAGGGCGAGGTGGCGGTAGTGTTGCGTGTGCGTTGTGTTGAATCCGATTTCAAATAACGCGGCGCCTGACGGGCAGAAGATGACGTTTGCCAACGCACCACCGTGCACCCCAACAACAACCTGCCAATGACATGTGTGTGCGTGTGTTGTGTGTGTGTGTGTGTTGTGTGTTGTGTGTTGTGTCGGTTCGAGAGGTCGAACACAACAATGCATTCAACCTCCTCCCAGAGAATAGCTGTCACATATCGTTGATGTGGTGAAGCAGGAGACCTACGTCTGCTTGGCTGAAGAGAGCGATGGTGTTGGCAATGGGCATTTCCTGTCCGCGAAACACAACGACACGCGCGTGGTTGCCAACAGCCGTCTCAATGGCGCCAATCAACGCATCCTCCTCGTCCAAGATCCGCATGCGCTCCGTCTAGTGATGATGATGATGATGATGATGATGATGATGATGATGATGATGATGGTAGTGGTGGTGGTGGTGGTGGTGGTGGTGAGGCGTGCGTGTGTCATTGTGGACATAATTTGGTTTGCTTCGCCGCTGCTACCCTGCTGTGTTCGGGTACTTCCTGTCGGCCTTCTCATGCCACATGTCCGCGTGTTGCGTCATACACACCTTGCGTGATGCAATGATGATGAGTGGGCGGTCTGCGTGTGTGTGTACGGACGGCAGCACGGCCTTCACGGCGTCGTTCGCCGTCATTGTGTCACGCACGCGTCGCAGCAGCCAGCGCGGGGCGAGCGCATGTGTCTGTACGTCGCTGCCGTCGTCGGTTGTCTGCCAGTCAACAATATGAAGCGTCTCAATCTGCAGACACCACGCGCAGCATGTGCAATTGTGAGCGTGAATGTGGGTGAGTGTAATGTAAGTATGTGTGTGTATGTGTGTGTATGTGTGTTTGTTTGTTTGTTGTTTGTATCATGAGCACGCCTGAATACGCATGTGGAGGCTTGCTGTCACGAGAAAAAAAAAACACACACACACACACACAATGCCCAGTATACCTGCACACACACACACACACACACACACACACACACACACACACACACACACACACACACACACCTGCACACACAACTCACGCGCAGTCGGATGTCGTTGAAACCAGACTTTGTGTCGTACGGGAACACGCGGGCGGCAACGGTGGACGGGAGGAGGTCGAGGTATTGCGTGATGAACTTGTTTCCCGTGTCGTCTTGCGGCAGCACAAGCGGCGTCGTCTGCAGCATCGGCCGGATCGTGTTACACACAGCAATGTGTGTGAGTGTGTATTTGTGTGTGCAAATATGTGTGTGTGCATGAGTGCATGTTTGTTCACACAAAGTGGATTGAGCTCAAACACACACACACACACACACGCGCGCGCACATACACATACACACATTAACACGCACACTCACACACTTGTGCAGGGACCAGCCAAACACGTCCCACCTCTGGTGTGAGGTCGATGAGGACGAGGAGCCGGCCGAGCGCTTCCGTGAGAAAGTGGAAGTAAGAGCGCACCGCATACGAGACGACAGTCGCCGCACTCGTAAGCAGCGGTACCTGGCACCGGGACGATTGGGTTGAGGTGAGGGGAAGTGGGGAGGATGTGGTAGACGGTGAAGGCAAGGAAAGGCAGGTTTGATGGATAATGTCGCTTGGACAGCAGGGGAACTAGTTACACACACACACACACACACACACACACACACACACACACACACACACACACACACACACACACACACACCTTAAATATATACGCGCCCACACATCTTCACACGCGTACACACATCCACATATGTCGCCCCTCCCCCCCCCCCACCATGCACTGTGCTGCACCTGTTGGGGCTGCTGCATGCCGTGATTCGGGAGGCGACCGCGACTGAAGTCGAAGAACTGCCCGCTGCTGTACTCGTCCCACACCGGCTGCACCTGCACATTCGCCAACACATTCACATACACGCCTGATGCGACGAAAGGGGAGGGGGGGGGTGGATCGGGATGACGTCGTGAGATGGGAGTAAGTCGTGTCTGTTGCTTGGCGCTGACTGTACGTAGGGCGTCTTATTCGCTTGAACGAACGCACACGCACACACACACACATACACACACACGCACACACACACACACGCACGGACACATTGGCTCACCTGCTGATCCAAGCTGGAGCCAGCAGTCGGTGTTGTGTGTGGGCGATGGCGCAATTAGACCGTCGTTGCCAAACAGCGCCGCATTTGGCAGCGTGATGTGCCAGACGGTACCCTGCTCCATGAGTTGGTTCGTTGCACGGCAGTCGTGAGTATGTGAGCATGTGCGTGGTTGTACACGAGGGAGACTTGATACTGGCTGCAGCAGTACGCACACACATAACAAACACACACACACATAACAAACACACATGAACACACACACCAATGCACACATGAGCACACGAAAACACACACACACACACACATGACCATACACATGAACACATGCACATGGCGTCACTGCAGGCTGCGAGCACCATCCCACAGCTTCACCTGTGTGTATGTCTGTGTTGCAACACCATCGTCCTCGCTTGGTGTTGGCGACAGCAGGCGCACACTCCCGCTGAACCTGGCATATGGGGGGGGGGGCAAATGAAGCACAAAGTACGTGTTTGAGCAAGCAAACGCAAACGCAAACGCAAACGCAAACGTTGGGCAAACAACCAAACAAAGCCAAACGAACTTGTGCTCTGAGTCGAGCCTCTGGACGCGGGTGCCGGGAGGCATGTTCCTACGGCGCCAGCCCGTGTAGAGGCGGTCTGATTGCGTACAACGCCATCCACGCGCACGTGCGCCCGCAACAAACCCGCGGTGGGCGATATGCGCTGCCTGTGGTTGAGGTTAACGGGGAACGGCGTGTTTGGACACAGTGAGCATGCAAGAAAGCCGTTGTAAACGGGCAGTGGGCAGGTAGTGGCGTGGTGCACGTGATGTGACCGACACAGTATGAACAACACAAACACCAGTGCTCATGTACAATGTACATGTGCACACACACACACACACACGCACGCACACACGCACACACGCACACACGCACACATCCACGCATGCACACACACACACACACACATATATATATATATATATATATATATGCTGCTTCCACCTGCTCGAAATGCTGGTGGGCAGTTGCTTGCAGGGACGGGTCTGTCTCGGACTTCATCAGAAGCATGGTTGCAATGCCGCTGTGCGTTTCTGGGGAAGGGATCATGGCCAGCTGCTTCTGCGCCCACTCCAGCGCCTCCGTGATGTTGCCCTGTGGTGGGGCGGTGGGAGAGGTGCAAACACACACACACACAGAGTGGAAAGCGCGCAGGACAATGAGCGCCAGGACAACCCTCCGGCATTGCAAGGTGCGTGCTAGCGCACGGACAAAGCCGCATGCACACTGCAGTGCAAGGCATGCGAAAACGTGTGCTGACGATACCTGGCCAGCATTGTAGGCCTTGTCGCGGTTGACGCTCAGCCGTCCAAACCGACAGTCCTGTGATGTGCGATGCACGAATAAAATGAACCAGAGGCGTGGCAAGTGTATGGCATCACGCTGTAGGAGACGGTGTCGTGCGAAAGCCGTGGAACACACACACACACACACACACACACACACACACACACACACACACACACCACACACACACCACACACAAACACAAACAAACAAGCAAACAAACAAGCAAACAAACAAACAAACAAGCAAACAAGCAAACACGGGACACTGGGATGGGGAAGCAGAAGAGGAAGCAGCGTGGTGTTCAAACGCCCTTGATGTGCACCAGGACGCAATGTTTGTGTAGGAGACACGCACCCTCATTTTGGCGGCCACCACGGCGTGCATTTGCACGTCATCAGCAGAGAGTCGCTTCAGCACCTGCTCCCAATACTCGAGGCAGTGATCAAACCTGAACGCACAAGCGTGGATCAGTGTACGGGTCACGGACATTGAGGAAGCGGGGTTTTAGTAAGTGCGGCAGCAACACAACGCACAGCCTGGGGAAGCGAGCCAATAGTACGACATGAAAGCAGGCAATGCAGCAACGCACCGCTGCGAGTTGTAAGAGTAGATGGCCATGTTGGCAAAGGCCTGCGGGTCGTGGGGGTCGATGGTGACTGCTCTTTCGAAGGCCTCAAAGGCCAGCTGTGAGGGATGTGAGCGTGGGTGACTTGTGATGAAGAAGGGTTGCAGAAACCAGGCGTACACAAGACAAGGCTTCGACCAGCACCTTGGTTGGCTTCCATACACCGCTCGCAGCAATCATACACACTAACTGCACTGACCACACACCTTGCAGACCACACACACTGCACACTAAGCGCACACACACACACTGCACGCACACACACACACACACACACTGCACACACACACACTGCACACGTACTGCGTGCTCCCGTTCCGATGCATCGAGCTGGCCTTGGTTGTGGTAGTACGCGGCTTGCTTGGCGTGCGATATGATGGCATCACACTCTGCATCATACCTTGCACTGCCAATGCACACGGATGTGCAACAACACAAAAGCAAGCACAAGCCAAGCAGCACCGCTGTCATCATCGTCCGTTCCACAGAGGTGGTCGCGACAGCACAAAAAGAACTGCCGGGCTTGTGCTTGAATCTGCTTTGAAAATGAGTGACTTGGCTGATTTGCGGCTGCCCGCTAAATAGCATTTCTTGCGCCGACGCCAACTCACCGCTGCTGCTGTTGGTGTTTGGTGAGCGCAACGCGCGTTGTTTGTTTGTGCTGAGGTGTGTTTGTTGTTGGGATGTTGGGATGATGCTGAGTGGTGCTGGCGGGCGGTGCTGCTGGTGGAACAGCAAGCACTCTTGTTGAGTGAGTGTGTGTGAGAGAGGCTGACTTGCCCTGGGGATGGTCACTGCTGGGGATACTGTTGGTGCACCCTTGCTGCTGCACCTCAGGCTGCTGTGTCAGATATGAAGTGTCGAAGCACACACTCTTTTTGTTGTCATGGCTGTATGGAATATGTATCGTACCTTGTCTTGCTCACATGTTTCACGCCCATGCTTGTACGTTTGTGTTTGCACAGACGCTGCCTCAGCGGAGCTTGCGAGCCTATCCAGAGCCCTCCTCCCCCTCCTCCCAGTTTAACACGCCAAGGGATTTGTTTGCTTGCCTCGTCACATCATCGTCATTTATTCACCATGAACGACGACGCCATTGTGAAGCAGGGGTGGCTGCGCAAGTCACCCCCTGCCGGTGTCATGAAAGCATGGAAGAAGCGCTACTTCTGCCTCAAACGCAAGGTGTGTGTGTGTGCGTGTGCGCGTGAGCGTGTGTGTGTGTGTGTGTGTGTGTGTGTGTGTGTGTGCGTTGCATGCTAACTTTGCTGCCACCGGGCGTCAGGCCTAACCCTCCCCCGCCCACGGCTCGTTCCACCACCCTTCTCACCGCTTCCCTTGCCGCTTCCCTCATCCTCCCCACGTCCCCCGCATCACGTCCGGTAGACGGCCCAAGGCGCTGCTCGGTTGGAATACTATGCTGAGACAAACAAGGCTGCGCGCGGCGTGATTGACCTGCGCACGTGCATCTCCATTGAGGAGGCGCACCACGAGCCAGAGAAGAGCCGGTACAACTTTCGCATCGTCACACAGGGTCGCACCTACACACTGCAGGCGCCGTCCTACGATGAGATGAAGGAGTGGATGAAGGTGATTTGTGACGAGGTCTTCCCACCAGATGATGGCCGTGCCAAGACAGCAACCCTCCCCAAGCAGCAGCCACCAGCCATGGCCGCGCGCGCCCAGCTTGCCGTGCCCACACAGGATGCTCCGCGCCGCACCTCCATCTCCTTCAAGCGCCGCCCCGTCGTCGCGCCCGGCCCCCGCGCAAAGCCGCATCATCCGCAGCCCTCGCCGTCCTGCCCCTGGCTCTACGGCAAGATTTCCCGCCAACAGACCGAGAGCCTTCTCGCCGACTATGGCCTGCAGGACGGGCTGTTCCTGGTGCGTGAGAGCTCGCAGCCGGGCGCATTTGCCATCTCGGTCTGCTACAAGGGCAAGGTTGTCCATCACCTCGTTCGCCCTCTCCCCACAGGCACATTCCAAGTCAACGAGCACGAATGCGGCGAGTGCACGTCACTTGACGAGGTGCGCCGGCGCTGCTGATGCAATTATTTTACCTGAAGCTGTTGTTGTTGTTGTTGTTGTTGTTGTTATTGTTGTTGTTGCTGTTGTTGCTGTTGTTGCTGTTTGTTGTTGTTGTTGTTGCGGTGGTGGTGGTGACAGAGATGTCCACTCCATATCCCCACACGCACTCACTCACTCGCTCACTCGCACGCACAAACGCGTCCCCCTTTTGCTCACTCCCTTCCCTTTCTTTTCTCTGACAGGTGATTGACTATTTGGAAACGCCGAAAGGCCCGCCACTGAACTGGCGATACGAGCTGAAGGTGTGCCCGAAGACATACGATGAGCAGCAGACTGGTGGTGCGGACAAACCCCCCGCCGAGATGCCGCCGCTGCCGCCCAGAACGGACGGGGTCCAGAACGCCACCGACCCCGCAGGCAGCGGGCGCTCGTTTCCAGCCACACTCCTCAACGTGCGCTCCACAAACCCGCTGTCCGTGGCGCAGGGGGCGCCGTGCATGGTGCGGATAGGTGCGGGCGCCGTGACGCTGGTGGACTCAACCACATCTCTCGATGCCTGTACCTGGCCAATCACATCCATCTTCGACTTTGGTGTTGAGCCGGCGCAAGGGTCGTTCTTCCTGCGGTCCAACGACGACCAGTGTG